CTAATCCCCTATTGTTCTGCCTTCTTTATTATTGAGAAGTTGCATTCAAAACATTTAGGAAATGAAACTGTTCTTGTGTGGGTAGGAGTGTCTATACAGAGCCATTTTGGTTGTTATTGTAGCAAATACAATAAGTTTGATTTCATAAATTTGGCTTTTCATTTATGAGTCAATACCATAGTTTTTCAAAAAACAAATTTATTTAATGGAGAAAATATAGTTTTACATAAAAAAGATAAACACTGAAATACAATGTATTACACATTGAAATAGTAGTTATAAGTACAACAGCAAATCATCAAAAATCTACATTTAATTTAAACACATGTCAATGTTTAAGGACCAGTCAACATTAAATTTGCAGACATTACATTTCTTCAAAAATAAAAAATATTATCTTCTGATGATCTGTTTTCATTGCATTACCAAATAAATATATTTGGTAACGCTTAGTAAAAATAAATAGCAGGTCAATTTTATTCAACAAATGATTCAAAACAAAGTAACCTTGAAAAGTCAATTCCTTAGATACTACTTACAACAATTAATTTTACTATTACAATAATTGTAATTAGCTTCTGTGTCAATGACCCCCATTAGGACCTCACAAGGAATTAACAGTTTTTTGTGATCAAATGTTGGGAAAATTATCAATTCATCCTTAATTCATAATTCAACTTAATGTAAATGAAAGAGACCATGGGGTGAGCAGGGATGGGTGAAAGGGGGTGAGGGCATAATTCTCCAGAGTGTTTTTAAAGGACACTTGTAGCATTATGTAATAAAACATTTAATTTCCCAAAATGTGTTCAATCTCTGAAATTACCAATAGAATTACAAAATAATGGCGCATTTTAAATGTACTTAATATTATTCATTATTTAAATATTAGTTTTCAAACTATGTTAATTTTTGTTATTTGCAATTTGTAATACTTATTAAAATTGCTTTAAAATTCATGAGCATGAATAGAGTTATTGTGTTAATATCAGTTCCTAACAAAACATCAGACTTGTTACAATGCACACATTTTGGCAATAAGTCATTTTATAAACTATGAAATCATATTAAATGTATTTTACATACAATGTGGAATGAAATATGTAGAAAGTTCTTAAATTTTCCCTAAACCATGAATATTTTTGAAATTGCACATTGCTTTCCCTGGAGTGTAATTTGAGACAAAATTGCAATAGCATTTGGGACAAAAGAAACTTTCTAATATATCCCTTAAATGTGGCTAATTCTGATTCAAACCCCAAAAGAAGCTCCTAAATTAAAAAAATTCAAAATTCGAAAGTGGCATAAAACAGTAAAAAAATTTGAAATATCATTGAAACAAACTCAGAACAATACGGTCAAGTCAGAGTCTTTCCCTCCTACAACTGCCCAAAATCCATTTCAAAAATAGGCTGAAAATTTTTGAATGCATAAAATATGACTTGTATTTAATAAAAAAGTTGTTAAAGCAAGTCCAGAAATGCAGTTGCCCATCCCACCCTTCTGCACACACCTCTGAGACTGCAATTCTTCAGAAGCTCACGAGAGCATGCATATTGTTCTCCCTGATTTTGTCATCACAATTTTTACTATATTTTTACTACAATAAATAAATAAATGTAAATGAGAATATTGAAACTTCTTTTCTCTGAATCTTAAGTTAATCTCTACACCTGTTTATTTGTTCATGAATGTGAAAAGTCTAATGATTAAAAGTACTAGTGCTCAAATGACTATTTCATCAATCTTGCTTTCTTCTACCTTCATGCATTTATATCATTGTTTTTTCTGTACAGCTGCTGAACATGCTTCCCACAAACATTCAGTAGAAGGAAAACACCATTCTGAAAGTCCCTCTCCCAATCCAAATCCATCACAACCTTCTTTGGTCTGTACAGCTCAGTGCCCATTATGTCCAACATGTCCACCTACTCCATCATGTATTTCTTCATGTCCAACGATTCCTAAATGCCCTGAACCTCAGAAATGCCCTAATCCATGTGCAACATGCCCAACATGTCCCACCTGCAAGAAGTCTATACCCCCAGGATACGAGCATTTCCCAGGACATGGATATTATCGCTTACACACAGTTCCAGTTGACTGGATGACAGCCAAAGAAACATGTGAGAGAGAAGGTGCATATCTTGCCATTATCAATTCACTGGTAAGTTAAATGGATTTGCATTTTTAATGTGGAGTTAGTGACCAAAGAATAATATAGTACTTTATAAATATGTAAATCTAATCTGGAAATGTTGGAAGCTTTTAAATTGGTGTTTCCACAAGGTACTACTAAATTCAAATTCATTGAAATTTGAAAATCTTTGTATGATCCATGATTTCATAAAGATAAGTATCCTCTGCAGCAATACATTTTGTTTGTTTTTAGGAAGAGGCCAATTTAGTGAAAAAATTATTTAATCGTGATCGTGATGTTGGAACTTGGCTTCACCTAGGATTCCATGACTTATACAAAGAAGGAAAATATGTCACTTTGTTTGGTAAGACCAATTATTTATAGATGATAGAGATGAATAATGTGGATTCATTTATATGAATTTAGAATTTAAAAATAATACCAAAAACATAATTTCAATTAACTTTAATTAATTAATTAAAATTAGTTTTTTTTCTGCAGTTAACAATTGAAGTTTCATGATTTTTTTTTTATTTTATTTATTTTATATTGCTATTACCTAGCTAGACAATCAGATTGATTGACTTTCACCCTAGCTATATCCTCTCTTGGACTCTTGTGATGACTTCCTTGTTTATATACCCATTGCAAGCATTTCTTTATCTCCTAGCCCTTCTAATTAGTCTTGTCCAGATTGATGGTTGAGTGATGGTTGCCACAAACTCATAATGAGAACCCTCATGCCTTACACAGGACACCAAGCCTCCACACTCTCCATGTGTTGTCATATGCTGACTACACTACCCAGGAAGTTTCAAAACATTTTATTTTAATACTTTAACATTGCAACTTTTAGGTTAATGCAAATAAATTAATTGATATTTTTTTTTTACATACGAAATGCATAGGACCAGGGTTGATTTAACAACCTGCGAGGCCTTGAAGTACTTTTATCATGCAGGGCCCTTTTATTATTTTTTCTAATTTTTTCAAGACATAGTTAAGCATGTGATGCATGAAGGAACTTTAACCTGCTTCCAATTATATTTTTTTTTTATTTGGTCCTTAGCTAAACATGGCTTTGTTAATCAATATTGAGACCATACTGTACCTGTAAAACGAGGTCTAATATTAAAGTATATAAATACTCAAATCCAGTTAAGAGTATTCTCGACCAAGCTCTGGGTCAATTTTGGGACATATGTACATTTTTAATACTGAAATATGATTGTGTAGAACTAAAAAGAAAATAAGAAAAAATAATTCAGGTAGAAGACGTAGTAGACATTGAGGTCAAAAAAATGTATGTTAACACTTTAAATGAAATATTTTTCATTTTATTTATTAATACATACACACAAGTTTGAAAACAATATATATTTTTCAAAAGGATCCTTTATTTGAAGTATTATCAGAATATACGTAACAGATTTCAACTAAATCCGGTGAAATTTTGCTCAATGATTCAAAATGTTTACATATTGCAAATAAAATTGAAATACATAAAATAGTTTTTCAAAATATTAAATTATAAACATTCAATAAAATGACACTGTCATTAATTTTAAATTTTGATTGAACTTTGATTATCTAATCAAACATTTACGCAATTTTGCAGTAGCATATTCATTGATTATTCTTGTATACATTATTTTGAGTAGTTAATGTTCAATACTCATCAAAGAAAGATTCTTCATTTCATCATTTCATTAATCATTTTTGGCTCATACTGGTTCTTATTTCACTCTTGTTTAATTTTTGTCATATTGATAAGTAATTGTATGAAGAGTGAGAATGATAAATTCAGTATCATAATTGAAGTTACGCCGATAAAGCTTCAATACTCAAAAAAACATTTACGCGATAAATACAAACATAAGAGAAACAACTGATTCTCACTGGATTGTAATTTATGCAATAACAATATATCCAAACAAACAAATAAATCTCAAACTGTTTCATTTTAAAACTAAAACAGTGTCATTAGTCAGCATTGAAAATTAAACTTTGACATCATTGTATACTTAGGATTCAGTCCTTTTTTACGGAAGGTGCATAAAATTCATAACAAAACTTTTTTTTCTTCATTAACAAAGACATTTTTAAATGCTGTGTCTTTGAAAGTGCAAGACTCCAAAAAGCGTGGGAACTGTAGCACATGCTACATGTGCTACTAGAACGGAATTAATATTATTACAATTATAACATTATTCTATACTAAAGTACTTTATTACAAAACGAATAACTCCTTTAATGATATAACTCCCATTTTTGCTTTTGTTATGAAATTGTAGTTGTCTTGGCGTAAGAATTTTTTTTTGAGGGGGGGGGGGGGTTACACAAATACTTGGAGTAAATATTCTATAACTTTCATAGTAACTAACTATGAAAACAATATAATGCAAATAATGTCATGAAATGCATTCTAATATTTCTTTAACAATTGTCAAATTGACATATTTATTTCTTCTCAGGTGAACCTTTGTCAGAGACTGGTTACATCACATGGAGTCCTGGTCAGCCTGACAATTACAACAACAATGAAAATTGTGGGTCAATGCACCCCGAAGGTGGACTTAATGACTTGAATTGCTCAGTCAAGAAACCTTTTGTGTGTGAGCTACCTGTCTAAATAGCAATAAATAATATTTTCTGTTAAATGAGAAAATGAAAGAATTTAGGTCAGAAAAATTACCCTTAAAACAAATTAAACAATATTTTTGAAGACAACTTTTTGTAAATTATATTTTTGTGCTTTCTGAATTTCAAGTGTATTGTTAATCGCAATTAGTGATTGTATGAAGTAATTTTCTCAATATATTTTAAAAAACTGGAGTTATTAATTCAGAAAAATTCTGTGATGAAACAACATAATCTTTAATGTTATAAATTCACAAAATCTTTTTTTTTTCTGAAAAATAAAAATAAAAAGTTTTTTTTGTATACAGAAAATGAAACAAATTTTGTTTAAAAAATAAACTATCCTAATGTTATTCTGAGTCAATTTTTTATTTTGAGCCTATTTCTCAAAACACTCTTATTTTCTATTTAAAATAGTCTACTTTAAACTGATGGTGGGGTAAATACCCACCTGGAATTTTGACAAAAATTGGAAAAATTCCAATTTACCACATTTTTTATCACCATCAACCCGGTGAAAAAAATTATTTCCAAAATTGATCAAAAACATTATTCAATATTCAAACTTTGATTTTGATGCATTTTGACTAGAGAGCGATAAGGATCCTTCAGCATCCTCAGAAGAAAAGAGATAAATTCGGCATAGAGGTATGAAGTCATAGATTTTAAGCATGAAAATGAGTGGTGTATGGGTCTAGTCCCCGAGTATTTGTGATTTATTTGTCTGCTTGTGATCATTTCAGGATAATCATGCTATAACAAGAAGCTTTTCCGTGCTGCACTGGGCAAAAAATTACTTGCATTCGACAAAGCTGCAAAATTGACTCGATCATATAGCAATCTTGCACTCATACCCAGAGTTAGTTAAAGATTGATATTGAAATAATTGTTGAATAAGTTCATTTCTGAAAATTCCAGTCAGTTTTCACACAATTTTTTCACACGACATTTCAAGCGTTGATCGATTCCAACTAAAAAATTTGAAACTACTTTATACAGTTATCATATTTTTCTTTAAGAAAACTTAAATGCAATAAAAAATTACGTCCCCCCCCCCCATGGTACTACCCACATGAAATTTATATTTATCTTCGGCCCTGGAGTGAAGTAATAATTTTAAGATATTTTCAAATAATAACATACACATAATTCACATTTATACAGATAGTTCACAGATAATTATAATCAATGACACATACAATGGTAGGGGAAGGGGGGGGGGGGTGTCATGCGGTTTCAGCCACACTCCAGAAACTGATGAAATATATTCACAAATGTAATTTTTACTAATTGTCTATGGAAGTTAATGTCATTCAAAATCTGAATTGAATAAATTATAAAAAAAACAAATCAACAAAAAGAAATAATTTAAATTCAGCATAAAGAAATTCTCTTTATAACAAAACATGAAGAAAACCAATCAATTCACTTACATTTCTCCCTAGAGAAAATTCTGGATTGTGCCACTATTTTTTTCATAATTATTCATTGGATAATTTATATTAAATAATATTAATTATTTTAGTTCCATTGTATTTTTTTTATTTCTAAATTATCTGATTCAAAGTTGCTGTTCACCATTCAAAATACTTTACTCAGAAGCAGGCCTGTACCACATTTGATCGTGTATTATAGAGAAGTGTTTCAGTATTGCTGTGACCCATACTTCTAAAGGTTTCCTATTTTTACTTTTAAATCAGTTCAGATTGCAGATTTAAATGTCATCAGCAATGCTATTGCTAAAGGTGGATATTAAATTATACTGATTATGCTATTAATTAAATATCCACCTAAGATACATAAAAATTTGATTGTTTTGTTCAATCAAAAACATACACATACAATTTTATAATTTTCATTTTATCAGTACAACCTACTCTGATGTCTTCATATTCCAGCTAAATCTTATTTTTATTATTTGTGATACCATTATTACAAAAAATAAAAATAAAAAAGATAAATTAGTAAATGTAATTATTAGAGCTCATACTTTATATGGAATAACATGTGGCTTATGTATCTGGTTATGTGTGAGTTAATTCATAATTATTGCTGAATTCTAATTACCGCTAATTGAAATAAAAATGTGATCATGAACAATGTGGAATTTCTTTCCGGAAGTAAATCTTCTTATTGTACAAAGATCTAAACAAACAAGTTTGGTGGCACTGCTTATGAAGATCTCAGACTCCCTCCCTGATTTCGTGAGTTCGGTTCTACTACATCCACGTCAGGACGAAACTTACTACGCTGTCCAGCAGCTCCAGTTCTTTTTGTTATAGTGCACTATGTGCAGCAAGTATAAATCGTATTTACTGCAGTTTTTACATCATTTTTGTAAGACTATTATCGCAATGAGTAATATTAAGCACCCATAGCATCAAATAAAGAATAAAAAATATACTAAAAGAAATATTCTGGTCAGTGCTTAACAAAATAAAGCAAACAGCTGTTAGAAAACGATTGTTTCATGTTGATGACAATGGAATGCCAAAGAAAACACTCAAATAGGTATCAAAAACTAATACTATAACTAATAACTAATCATACATATATATATATTATATATATATACTATATATATATTATATATATATTATATAATATTATATATATATTATATATATATATATATTAATATATATACATACATACAATATAAATAAAACTACATAATTTAAAAAACTGGTGACTTAGTTTAGAAAATACTAAATAACTGAAATGTTAAAGTCTAAATCGAATCTAAAGCTGTGAGCTGACACAACAACCGCTGACGAAAAACGAAATTAAAAAAGTTAGAACAAAACTACTTTCACAAAATTGTACGCTGAATTAGATGCCCACCAAAATTACATCTATCATTTATTATTATAAATATTAATATTTATTATTGCTAAAAAATAATAACAATTGCAACTACAATCGTAGAGAAATGAAAAGCCAACAGATTAATGTGCGGAAGAAGAGGATAGAAACACAAAATGCATTGACCCTATGTATTCATATAATCGTAGCAGTATTCTCGATTAACGCGAAAAATTAATTAAGCTCATTCAGACTGTAGTTAAAGCTGCCCCAACGAATACAAATCTCAACCGCTCAAGGAGGATTTCTGAAAGAGAAACAAAATAAAAAGAAATAAAAAACAAACAAACATCCACCCCGAATGAAGACGTCTATCCTACCTCTGTCAGATGAAAAGCTCGATTGTCAGTGTGCGGAACACCATGACTCCATTATCCACAAAATTCCATTGGTACACGCGAGGTAAACTCACCGCCACCAGAAGAAGAGAAGGAGGAGACCTAAAGCGAATAATCAAGAAAATAAACAAAGTTCGCTTTAACTTGCTGATTTCCGATCAAACTTCAGTGGCAAACTAATGGCCGTATCCCACGTGTAGAAGCGCCAACTGGACTGTTACTTGCCAGAATCACAACACATTTACGAACAGTTATCAACTTATTTCAGCATTTCATGCAATTCGACTTGATTCTGTGAATGTAAAACGAGACAATAAGTATACAAATCATTATTAAGACACAAGTCACTTTTCTCTCAGATTTAAATGGCACATTCGTAATGACAAGTATCATAGTTAATCCAGAATCTACACACTGTATTCTGTTGTTGAAGCAATCAACGTGTCTCCTTTATGATGCGTCGCAAGAGAAGCATTGTAGCATTGTTGGAGTAAATCCGGCCATTTTCTAATGAACTCCGTTGCTCAGCACCTGGTTTAAATATTCTTCAGTGCAGGGACGCGCCCCCGGACGAGTTGTTTTGTAAGTTCGCTTCTCCGCTGCAGAAGTAATTTCTTTATTGCGCCTGTTTCTAACAGTGAGGCAATTTTTTCTTCTTGAGTAATATTGTGGATTTGTGGGGAAAAACTGGATTTGTGCTTGGGAGGTTCAACATAATGATATTTTCCCTTTAAACATATTATATTATATCCCCAAATAAAATAATGTAAAAATTCAAAATTAATATATAAAATATTACTTTCAAACATTTGCCTGTTATATAAAGACATGATTCATCAACTAGTAGAAACTTCTTTGTTATGCATTATGTTATTGTTACCGCTCCCAAGGTCCTGTTTAAACTCGCCCGGCCACGTAATAACTAGCCTGTGCTATCAATACTCCCCAAATACCGGCTGCAAAACAGTACCTTTAATTGATGACCGAGCTCCCAAATGAGTTGCTGATTCAATCTTTCATGTTATGATCAACAAAATACAAGTTGATTAAGCTCATTTTAATTATTATTCAATTCAGTTTCATCCAAGCTGAATAAATTTATATTTTACCCAATATCTTAAAACTTATTGTCGTAGATGAAATGGTTTATTTAGAGTATAAGACACATTTCTCCTCGAAATGCTTCACAGCTGGACGAGGAAATGAAAATTAAAAAATAAATAGTGTAATTTGTATGTACATTTAGAATGTTGACGTTTAGATATCAGAGGAAAAGAATTTCAGGCTAATTGCTACAGTTTCAACGAGCTACTAAATGTGTTACATTTATATGGATAAATTGTTCTTCTCAAGTTTTTCCTTGGTCAAGAATTACGATCTTAACTACAATGTTAACGACTCTCAGAAAGGTGTATTGTTCAGTTTAAATAGATTATTACGCTGAAATTGCGTCCGAAGTTTTCAACATTGCATACTGCGGTGGCACAGTACACACGCGGGTTTAAAAGCCTCACATTTGCTCTTTAGCTTTTTCGTTCATCATTAAGTTCAAGTTTTTCTGTTCAAAATAGTTTTAACTTCTTTCCAAAATGAAACAAAATTTTAATTTCAACAAAATTATTTATTAAATAATTTCAATGTAATAGATAACTGTACTACATTTTCTTTGGCAAGCCCAAAGTTTAAATGTCAAGTGATCACAGTGAATTATTTCAGCAACTACATTTATATTGATTCATTGATTAGTGTTTCCGAGCGCGTCAACTTCTAAGGTCATTCGTCCCTGAAGGTAGTGTATGTTTCTGCTCGAGAGATAGCAGTGATCTTCCCCTACTGGAAAGTGACTCCAACCAGGTATCTCCCAAAAGGGGGCATCGCCCCCTGGCGGGACAAGCTCGCTGCTCCCGACCGGTCTCCTGGCATGTGTGGTAGTGTACTGCACGTAAGTGCAAGTGTGTGTATGTAATGGGCGAGGATAAGACAAGGATGTGGAAGGAAAGATAGCGTGCGATCCGCGGCCCGCGTGTATTGCTCTGGCCTGGTGTTGATCGGAGAAACCACGGAAAACTACCGATCAGAGCAGCCGGCCCTTTGAATTCTCCTCCAGACTGCGACAGTACTCGACCTAGCAATTGTCGAAAACCCTCTTTCTCTCTCGGGACTTGAACTGAGGACTTCCCTGTCAGAGACACTGCAGGGACATCAGTTGATGCCGTGAGCCACCTCTCCCGATAACATCTACTCTCAAAATTTAGGCTAGACAAATGTGCAAAGCCAATATACAGGAAAAGCAGAAAATACAGAGAGAATTCAAGTTGATACGGACATTTTGATGCAATAACTTGAAGTCAAACTCTTAGCTTTGAAGACTATGACATTTCAAACGATAGGATGAAGAGAATTCGAAAGAAGCAGTACGCAATAGGCAATTTGATGGTGTCTGTAGACAGATGAAGCTTCGGACTGTTGGACGGATCTGAGCAAGAACTAGAAAGCTGCTTACAAATCACCGATGTCTTCCACCCCTAAGCATGGGGGATACATTCTACCCAAGGGAAAGATTAATACGTAGAATGTAATGTAAAAATATTTCAATTTAAGATAATCTTCTTCAATTCGAAGACTGTTATGAGGGAGGAAGGATGAAGCCCATACGCTGACGAGAGTGATCGCCCTGTCAGTCTGGATATGAGAAAGCCAAGTACATCTGGGAAGTGCTTATGTGAGACGGTTCGCAATGCGTCTTCCGTGGCTTAACTGCGACGCATCGCAGCGGCTGGACGAGTAACCCAAGTAGACCCTCCATTAGGATGTCACTTCAATGACCGTATCCTCGCAAATACTCCCAATAATAATAATAATAATAATAATAATAATAATAATAATAATAATAATAATAATAATAATATAAAATAAAAATAGTAATAATAATGACAACATAATGGTGTCATAATACCATATTTTCTCGAATACAGATTCCGTTTTTAGATGTAAATTTCGGAAAACTTCGGTATGTACATCGTATGTCGTTCGAAATTTATTTGTCGTAGTAATATTTTTAAAAAATAATGCTTATTCTCTCTTAATTCAATTGCTAGCCGTTTCTAAGAAAATATACATCGGAAATACAAACGTCTACCCATTTGCACCATTGCTAGAAAAATAAAAGACTATTTTTACAAAATTATTTCGGTTCATGTCGGGATACATACGTATTAGCTCCATCCAGTTTTTGGCCAATTTGTGGCGTTGTTTTGGGAAGCACGGGAGCACAGATCGCGCATGCTCTTTCCTTCTTTCTTGTTCTTTTTTCTCCCATTTCACACACAAACAAACATTCGCAATTATATGCCCTACACAACCACACATGTCGCGATCTTAGAATTAGTCTCGGCTGGGGCGGTACGCCGCTGGTGAAAGAAACCTCGAGGGGGAAATCCCTGCGAGCCCATTCGTAGGTCGGCAGCGGACCTCATCGTCCTGCGGGGGGAGATAACCTCACCTCCCGAGCAGAAACATATCCTACCCTTACGGGACTAATGACCTTAAACACCGCCACCTCCTGGAATAAGACATTGACTACACGAACCTTAATGAACGTAGCGAAGGAACTTAATTGAATCGTTTATTTCAGAAACCCGACAAACGCCAAAATCTAAAACACGCATTAACGACGAATTATGGTTCCAAGAGGATAGACACATCGTTTAGTACATATTTACATGCAATATATTCAGTTATCAATTGCGTTAATAAAAAAAATATATTTTGATATGTTATATGGGTTCGTAGGCTTCCGCGGCCGGAGTCAATGCATTCTTGGCTATCCGGGATGAGCCGCGTCTCGGTCAAATGTACTGACGTTTCGGCCATCTTGCTGTGGTCTTCTTCACCGCCAGTAGTATAGCTCCGAAGGCGGCCACAGCAAGATGGCCGGAACGTCAGTACAATTGACCGAGACGCGGCTCATCCCGGATAGCCAACAATGCATTTTGAAATGTTAAAAATTTGGAGGCTACACATTGGCGAAAAACTGGATGGGGCTAATACCCATGTATCTCGACATGAACCGAAATAATTTTGTAAAAATCGTCTCTTATTTTTCTAGCATTGGTGCAAATGGGTAGACATGTGTGTTTTCGATGTATATTTTCTTAGAAACGGCTAGCAATGGAAAAAGAGGAATGCGTCGTTTGGCGGGTTTCCGTGTCCGGCAGCTGACGCGTGGCTCTGCATGCGTGGCAGGCATGGCGTCCGTGCCGGGCAGTGCTGGTGGCGCGGCGGCGGGCGCGGCGGCGGGTGCGGGAACGACGGTGCGCATCGGGCTGGCGGAGCGCGAGCGGCTGCTGGCGGCGCTGCGCGAGTGCGCCCGCGCGGTGGAAGCGGTGGGCCGCGAGGCCGCCCCGGCCGGCCGGCCGCTGTCGCCCGCCGTCGCCCACGAGCGCAGCGCGCTGCTCGCCTCCCTCGCGCACGCCGTCGGCCTCGTCGAGACCGCGCCCGTGGTATGTGCGACCTCTTCGACTTCCGGATTCCACAATACGAAGCTGCGCGCGTTGCTAATCGCAGCTATGGTTTTAAAAGCAAGCATTTCGATCCAAACTCGTCTTTTAAACTCCTTCCGAGGGTACAGTAATAGGGTTCCCCTATTTCTATAATTATAGAATATTTCTATAATTTGTCGGTTGAGTACAATGGTTCTAAATTAATCTCGCATACATAAGAAAATCATAATTTACACTATAAAAAAGATGCAAAAAAGATTGACCAGCGTATATTGTCAATATGGGAGTTTCGCGATTTATTTCTAAGAATGTTGAAACGATACAAGACAGTGAAAAGAGGTTACCCAACAAAAACGAGATGAAACGAAGGGAAAGAAAAAGGAACAAGGTAACATAAGGCAAAGCGTAATGAGTGAGACGAGAGGAGAAGAGAAGATACAAAGTGACCGGGCACGAGTACGGGCCCAATAGCAAAACCAACGAGTACAAAATAACAACTCCAAACTAAAAGACACGTTACGGTATGACGTTGGTACCCGTTTTACGCTAATCGTAGATAAATTACTCCCCCCCGGCCGAGGCGCGTAGAGCACGCGCGACGGAAGACGAGAGGCGTTGCCGGTGCCGCAGGTGCTGGCGGCCGCGTCGCCGCGCGGGGAGGACGTGTCGGCCGCGCTGCAGGGCGTGGGCGGCGGCCTGGGCGGCTGCCGGCCCAAGGAGCGCGGCGGCGTGGGCGGCGGCGACCTGCGACGCAGCAAGACGCCCGCGCCGACCTCCGCTGGCGCCGCCGCGGCCACCGCGCGCACCAAGTCCACGGGCGACGTCGTCCGCAGCGCAGGTGCGGGCCCCGGCGCCCAGCAGCTCCGCGCCGGCGGCGGCCGCGACGCGCCCTCGCCCAGTGAGGCGCAGTCGCCGGCGGGTGAGTCGCGCCAGCGCCGCCGCGCCTATCCGCCACCGCCCTCCTCACGGCCCGCTCACGCCTTCCCTCACCTCTCTCCTCGCTCTCCGCCCCCGTTCCCATGTTCTCGCCCCAGGCCCTCCCCCAATGCTCCCCTCCACCGCTCTCCCCACGCCCCCGCTCACGCCCTCCCCCACGCTTTCACCATGACCTCTCCCACGCCCTCTGGCCTACTCACCTCACCTCGCCCTCCGCCCTTGCCCTCCCTCACTGCTCCGCCTGCCCTCCGCCACGCCCTCCCCCACCTCACGCCCCACGCGCACTCCCACGCCCACTCCCACGCCCACTCCCACGCCCACTCCCACGCCCACTCCCACGCCCACTCTCACGCCCACTCCCGATCTTAGACACGCTCTCCGCCTCGCTCTTCGCCACACACTCGCCACAACCTCCGTCTAGGCAAGCTCCTCCGCCAAACCCAACAAACCGCCACGCACCCCTCTTCGATCCCCTCCTCGGCCACTCCACGATCCCCATCAACCCCTACCACTCTCCCTGCCACGCTCCCCAATCCACTCTGACACCCATCTCCACCTCCGCCTTCCACTGCAAATCCAAATCAAAACCTCCAAATTTCTTACATATATTTCAAAGAATGATGCACATTTGGATGAGAATTCTAGAGGCCTGCAACTCAGTTCCAGGGAGATGGCAGAGTAGAACTTTAAACAGACACAGACAAGGCCAATCAACTTCTAATTCCCATTCTCACCGAGAGCGAACGATGGGCATTATCCTCCCAACCTCAAAAGGTCTTTCTCGTATTGATCGAAAAAAATTTCAACAAGCGTCGGAGACGATGAGAGGGTCACAAGTTTCACGTTTGGAGTATCTAAATGGTAGCGATAATGGTCCACAATGATACAAAACAAATTATACAATGACACAGAACGATAGTATTAGTCTAAAAAAATTAATTCTGTGCATTTTGTGTGAGTTATGTAATTCATAGTTTTCTGCAATCATTCGCTAGCTTGAGTTGCAATTTGCTTGTCCGAACCCATAATTAAGGAAGAGAAACTACGGGCAATTTGACGTCCGAGGACAAGAAGAACTTAATTCCTAAATCAAATATGATTTTTTCCAAAATGGGTTTCCTATTTCTGATCTGGTTCAACTTTCGGCTCAAATTTAAAATTTGTATGTTATATTTACATGAACGTAATTGACGTTTTGAACATTCGTGGCAAACCTACGAGTACATTAAACATTTATATTTTTAATTTTTGTGGGATTAAAGCGAATTGAGATTATTAATATCATGAATACTTCCGGTTTCTTCAAATACTAATATATTTGAAATTATTCATTTTTTTCAACATCTCATGTAATCTTCTCATCTCAATCATCCTCTGTGTTAAATTAACAAGTGATTTTATTCTAAATGAAATGGAATCTGCAATTTTATCTGATGAATGGAATCTGCGATTTTAAATGATGTCAGATAAAGGGTTAAAAATCTTGATCGTTTTTTTTTCTCTCATTTGAATAAAAATATAACGATTGCCCAGACACCATGACAATTATTTATTTCCCGAAATTTTCCAGGACGTCACACCGCCCGCTCCTCCAGCGCCCGAACCGCCCGCGCGCCCTGTCATCAAAATAGCGATCAAAGGCAGCTACCTGGAGTCGGGCACCAGCGGCGCGGGCACGGAGGACAGCGGCGAGGACAGCACCGACAAGGACGACAAGGAGGACGGCGACAGCGACCGCACCGACGACGCGGCCAGCGGCAGGAAATCCACGGACCGCGGGGGCGGCGAGACCGACACAGACTCCGACTCTTCGGACCAGGCGCTGCGCAGCGACCTCACTCGCTCCTTGGGCAGCTCGGACAGCGGGACGCTCACTCGTTCGTCCTCGGCCAGCTCCACGTCGTTCGCCGAAAATTGGACCTCCGAGAACACGTCGTCGTCGCGCCCGGCCCCGGGCTCCTCCAAGGGCAGGGAGGTCAAAAAGTCCGTGAGCTTCTACCTGGGGGCGGGAGAAAAGCGCGGGACCGATTCGGCGGCGAGTCGCAAAGGCGGCAACGAGAACGCTCTCAAGAAGAAGAAGGCGGGACGCCCGAACCTGATGAGTCTCGTCACCAAGTTGTCTCGCGAGGAACAGAGGTTGTCGAAGACGTCTCGTGACAAAGGGTCCACGTCCCTCTCTGCGCTGATACAGGAGATGTCCGCCGATCACGGCCAGAAACTGAAATCAGGAATGACGAGGAAGCTCGCGAACGCTGAACGGGAGAAGAAGCCGGGTAGTCGTGGGAGTAGAGGGCGGCGCGAGAGGCCAATGGACGCGATCATTGCGAGGAAGAAGAAGGTGGGACATGAAAACCTATCGCTGGAACTCAAGAAGATCAAGGCGAATGTGTCTATAACGACTGAGAAATCTAGTAAGTAGCCGCATTTACTCACATTCAATTCGGAACAGAATTGACCTTGAAAAAAGGCAAAGAAGAAAGACTTTATTTAAGTAGAGGAATCAGAAAAAGTTGTCTCATTTCACGATTCATTGTCAAGGCCAATCATTTACAAAATGGTTTGAAAAATAAGTTAAGAAACCTGGATTGTAATATATATTTCCATAAGAAGGGGACTGTTGGTTTTACTTTTTGAGTTCATTCGAGGACAATTGGACATACAATCATTTCAGGACAATAGGAGCTCTGATTAGGAAGTGAATTATTTTCTGGGTTTGCAAACAACCTCACGGCATGAAACCGTTTGAACGAGACATTCAATTTATTGATTTTAAATGCAAACACAAGTGGATGGTAGATAAAAATCCTTCAGGGTGGAACTCAGTTTTTGATTTGTTACCTATGGATAATTAAAATAGATTCTCCCAGTTAGGTTTCAAAAAATCTTGACACTTTGAGATCAGTAAGGAACTTTGCGCTTTCATAGGAACAATAAAACTGAACAAAAATAATAAAAATCAAGTTTTTTATGAAACAGAAGTTGATATATTAGAAATATTAATTATACCTTGAACATGAAAGGTGTTGAGAATGCAATTGATTCATGTTGACGTGTAGCAATGTGATTACAGATGCCAACATTGCTAAACAGGATGAGCAAACTCGCATTTATATGAGACGCAGTGTCAGCAACCTGCAACAATCGAACAATAGTAAGTATCAGATTTCTTAATTTAGTTTAATTAATTCATGAATTTGTTAATCTCTTTAAATTAATTCTCGGATTTCTTAATTCAATAATAAAAATTACTCTCAATTTTATTTATTAATCAAGTTTTTCAAATTTTAATTCTATTATTGTTACAGGTACAAAGAAAAGTGAAAAAAGTTCTAAGCCCAAGAGTGTCAATTTACAGAAATCGAACCGTGAGTTTTTATGCGTTTTTCATTGAACGATTAGCAACTATAACTACAAGATGTTGATGTGTTGACATTTCTGTACGATTATAGGGACCTTGGAAATAAATAAAGGAGGTAAACATGGTTCCTATGAGATGAAACGAGTTAGCAGCGCCTTAGGGAATACAGGCGCCCGTAAGTGACCAATTTGACTATCATTACAACTCTTTTGAAGTTATATTTAATGAAGCACAATTATATTAATTGTGCGAGTATAAATTAACATTTTTGGAATCATAAATCGATCGTCTTCCTCCACGATTGTCTTGCTTCCGCACGGCTTGGGCAGCCCTTATTTTAACGAAACCTCTTAGGTGGAGACTCACAACCTACCGCAGCTAGCCTCGAGGGGGTAGTGGACTAACATACTTACGTCATAGAAAATGGCGGACGTGGAAGTTCAGATATAGAAATAATTCCAAATACAAATTCATCGAAAGAAACAATTTTATGAACATGAAAGTAAATTCATTTAAATAATTATATATATATATATATATATATATATATATATATATATATATATATACATACATGCATACATACATAATGCATACACTTTACCAGTTTTACACAGTTGTTTTCAAAGAAATTATGTTGATACGAGTCATAATAACATTATATTTAGAGCAATTAGTTTCTCACGCACATTTTAATTTCAAAATTATTGTTCAAACACAATCCATGATCTTTATCAAACGTCTAGTGTACTATAGATTTCATCGACAAGAAACACTATTCTAATTGCAGTTTTGCCGTAATAATTCATGTTCATACAATTTGCAAAATAGTGTTTTTCTCGAATTGATTCATAGAACCATTTCAATTATACACAGTTTTCAATTATAATTATTATTGTTTCGTTCAATTTTATTCTTAAGAGTTTTGGAACACAAGCTCAACATTCAATTTATCGCTATTTAATACATCGAGTTTCAATTTTGACAGAGTAGTAGTGTCTAAATAATGGCATTGGAAAAGTGTATGTCGAATTTCATGGAGTATCCAGTAAAACTGCCTGAAAATACAGTAAATGTTGATTTTGTACCAATTGAAATATCTTTATAGATCATTCAACATCCTGGAACGTGTTAATTTCAGAGTATAAATACACCCATTAGAATTATTTAGTCCCAGACGTGTTTGGCTAATATAATTACGAACTAAATTTGTTGGAATTCTCAATAGAGCAATGACCTTGTCTTCACTTACTAGCAGCTCAGAAAGTGTACTAACCTTTATTACTAACTCTACTAAACTTAGAAATAATGAAATGAAAATTAATTTGGAAAATAATAATTCAAAAATTATTCTTTTTCACTTGACAGAAAGCTGTGGCTTACAAGGCGTTGGACTTTATTGACCTTAAATAAATTAGTTTTTATCTTGCATACCTTCATACATTCATGAGCAAGAAATCCTGTTCCAACAACGTTATTCTCATGAAAATAGTAATAAAAAGATTCTCTGATTTTTTTCTACGAAAATAGCTAATACAAATTATTTACCATGATTACAAATCTGTGTGAGCCTTTGCTTGAATTTGTTTTATTGTTTAAATTATGTAAATGTATGTTCCAGGCACAAATAAAACTTCTGAAGCAAATCACACTCCCAGGATTTAATTTTATTGCTCAGGTGAAAAAAGGTTCAACGTAAAAGTCTTCCACCACCCTCGTTCTACTCATAAGTTACATTCAAATACTGTTGGATCTTTTAACTGAATTAGATCCACTAGCATTTCATAATTATTATTTTTAATTGGAGCTTTGTAATATTTATTTTATACAAAAAAGCTTCAATTAAATATTTATTGTACATCATTCATAAATAAAAAAATATTATTATTCTCCGATTTATTTTTAGTGGAAGTATTACTAAAATTAAATTACAAGTAAAACATTTTATTTTGAAGAACGAGACAATATGCTCTCAGTCAAAACCATCACATTACGAAAGAGCATTAACATAATTTATTGGCGCTGTTTGAAGGTAAGGTGCACGTGAGTGCATGAATCGAAACAATATTTACTAAACCTTTCCGTTGTGCTGCGAAACGAAAAGGTGTTAATCGTAGAACTAGATGTCGCTTCGGCACTTTAGGTTGGGCAAGGAAAGCATCGGAAAACTTCCTCACTTCCCCCAAATTACTTAGATGCCTCAAGGTTTTAGGTCCTACCAAAGTTTGGGTTAAAGATAAAAGATAAACTACCTAACATAACCATCACAGACTTGACGCATGGCATTTCGCTACACAAAGAACTGAACAGATCTGCGAGAGTGAAAGTAAACACATGCCTCACCTGTCGATGCGCGTCATTTCTTATCGTTGTGTACTTCGATTGTCGCTATGTGTACTATTCAAGATTAGAAACATTCAGACTGGAGAGTTCCTCTTACAACGTACTCTTTAAGGTGGACATCTCGCAGAGCCGGAAACGGTTGATGCGATATTGGGAATTAATTTGCGAACCTTGAAGGGCAATAGCGCAAAGCAAACTAATTCTACAGGCGAAAAAAATTTAGTGACAAGAAAATCTGACGCAAAATCAAACCAAGACAATACTATTCAAATTATGACAGGAACATTATTTACTTTAAACATTATTCTTGTAAACTTTGCTGAGCGTAGAATCATTATTTCGAACTTACTTCATTTATTAGTAAGAAATTAGTAAGTAATTATTTATTTCTAAGGAAAAACATATATGGTTGCTGGTGAGGTTCTTAAAATTAAATGTAGTTTGAGTCATTTTCGGCTAATCCATATCCCTGTCATTTGTCAGGTGGCCAGCAATTGACAGTCAAGTGTGTGTGTGTGTGTGTGTGTGTGTGTGTGTGTGAAAATGGATTAACCCAAACCCACCTACTTTGAACTGAGGCTTTTGAGAGCTACAATTCGCATCAGAGTATTTTAAAATATAATTTATATAAAAAATAATACTCCAGTGTATGTCGTCGTCAATTTCATGCTAACTTCATCAAATTATATTAAATAATTTATATATTTAGCTTAATTTCAATTGAAAACAAATTTATGTACAAATATAGACTATTAAGAAAAACTGAGTGTACAATTAAATCATTTTACCATTATCAATTATAGTTTTATACATAAAATACAAACACGTGAGTGGAGTGACAAGACGTCAAGAGCCAACACAAACATCACAAAATGATTTTTTGAATTTCATTTGACCGGAAGGCAATGCAATCTAGAAAGGTTTTATAGAACGAAACAGGAAGCAGTTTTTTGAAACACAACAAACAACCGAAAGTAGGGGAAAATGAAGAACGAAGAAAAGAAACAAGTGTTTCAATCTGAAGAACTAGTATGGTTTACAAAGCCAGCAGAGCAAAGATGTATGTTCTGTACTGCAAATGACATAGAGTACAGGTACCCTTACGATGATTACAGAACAATTGTTTATATCCAAACCGCAATGCGTAAATCAACCAAAAGTGGAGACGTGTTGTTTCTCCGTCCTCACCTTGAGGCCTCTTAAGATAAGGTGATATATGAAGAGCAAAGAGGGACGAGGAGACGGAAAGAACGATAAGAAAGGGAGCGTGTGATAAGAAATTCAGTCTTCTCTATGAAGTACATCAGTAGCCTCGTTTCAGGAACCCCGCCTGTCTTTCGCAGATTCGTGAGAATGTGCAGAAATCGGACATTTTTGTCTAAATAAACGTAAGTAAAAAGCCTTTTGTGATAAAAGCAAACATTAAGAAACTTCATTAAAGAATGAATACAAGATATTAATGTATTAAATGTTAAATTATATTGATCCATCTAAAATTTAGTGTTCTATTTTAATTTCCTTTTTAGTTACTGTTTATCTCTTGACATTAATTGATATGTACTATCATAACAAATATTTCATGTTATTCGTGATGTATCTGAAAACTCAAAGGCAATTTTTTTTAAACAAGAGCTACCGTGTTTTACTATCAGAGTTTTGAGGTGAATTAAAGGTCTGAGGTGCAAAAACATTTTTCTATGGGAGTTTAGAAAAGTTGGCTGGAAGTCAATTGAGATAGCTGTCATACACACCAAAAATAAAAAAAACTGTACATAGTTGACTGAATCATGTTTACCAACTCTTTAGTTTTTAATATCCTCTGTTAGAATATTACAACTTCAATATAAAACCACCTTTCTTAATTTTTCTAAAACGTCAAATACTCTTGCCAAATGTGTTTAGCCATGACAGTTCATTTCTGTAAGATGACAGAAGGCAGCATGTGATGTGACAGCATTTTTGGTTTCTCGGAGTCACATTGTTTATGAAAAAGAGAAATATTACGTTTATCCTTCGAGTTTGTTTCTAAGAGGCAAGAAAAATGAATCCCTTGAATTAAAACTTCAGATTTTTGAATGTCAATGGTTATTAATGAGCAAGTAAAATGGCTTCCGACTCTTAATTTGAAGTGGAAGTTGGACGTTTCTAAACAAATCCAGATTAATTTAATACTGGTTATTTTTATAGATTCTTGCTGTTTTAAATTATCAAAACCTATTTAAAGTGTAACTCTTTTTCAAATTGGCATTTTTTTTATCATCAAACTTTTGTACCTCTGGAAGTCCGATTTAGACGTAGATTGCTACAATGTTACGTCTAAAGTTCTTTATCAACTTTTCAAATTTGGTCGTTGGTCGTCGAGTCACCTTGCATAACATTAAAATTATTTATGTGTGGACCTACTGATCGTCAATAGCTTTGTGTGTCTAAGAATTATCGTACCTTCAAGCCCTCAAAAGACGAAAGAGTCGAATGAAGAGCAATAAATTAAAAAACAAAAAAGATTATCGCTATCTGTTGTAAAAGGTAATCTATTGTCCAATTCATTTATCTGCTTTCTACTTTTGGTGTCTCAACTGATGCGAACATCCGATATCGAATTGAGGTATTGCGTGATAAAGGAAAATAAATTGCATTTTTCATTGTATCGTTTGTTTTGGACCCACCAATTATTTTTATGTTGTAAATAGCTTACTTGGCTCAATTCCCTTAAAGCTTTACCTCGGCTTACTTGACTTCAAAGAAAATATTACTTTTTGTATCCTCATTTCAATCCTAATGTTTGTAGAATACGTACTAAAAAAATCCCTGCATATAGTATTATGGTAATTATGAAAAGTTTAATGGAAATTTTATGGAAAGTATTAACATGGATGGTTCTATATGCAATTACTATAAAATAAGTGGTATATTTTCGTTATGTAAATGATAATACAATAAAAAAAGGATTGCATTTGAATGCAAACTTTGCTTTTTTTTAATACATTAGAAACTAATAAAATTATATAAAAATTGCGTTTGTATTCGTAAAGCAATAACTTACTAATAATGAATTCTCATCAACATATCTGCGTTGCAAAGATGACGATAACTTTAATTAATGTACAATACAAATACTTGTTGAATAAATCGCCAGATATTCATTCAAAATTATATTCGGGAATTATTACCATTTTCCCGAAAAACATTGAAAAGTGATAATTGTTATCTTAATTAAAAGGCTTGGGAGTTAATCGTGACAAAGCACAAACACTAAAATAGTATCATTACATGTAAATATTTAACAAAAATACAGAAAACAAACTATTACAAGACCATTATAGTTAGGTTTTCACCATACGAAATCGAATATAAAGTAATCCTACCTACTAGGCAGTACCTACTATTAATTATTGTCTTTAATTTGATTTAAAACCTTCGAATGGATCGTACAATGTACTAGAATACATATGGTAAGCTTTACCAATTATATTATCTTCTGTCTTTACCAATAAAACCTTCTTTCGTGATGCGCAGAATGTAGACCAAGTAACTGTGAGTTAAAGAACGTTTGACTGCACGAGAGATAAGTTAAACTAACAAGCGGAAGACCGGAAGTTGATTTACTAAGTATACGTGAAGTTAATCGCTGCTTTAATGTATTGCGTTCAATGTTTCCGTCTCCCGCAATTTTTAAAGTAAACATTAATTTTCTTCGATCTGGAAAGTTTTTCCACTTGTATGATACACTACTTATTACTGCTACGACGGAGCGAGAAGGCAGGTGCTTATTGGACTAATAGTTCATTGCAAATGTAATGGTTGTTATAAATTGCGTGGTTAAATAAAACAACCTGCGACTTCAAGTAATAAACGCCCCCTTTCAATAAAGTAGATGTCATTTACATTCCACTCGGTCACGGTTTAATACACAAGTGAACAAGTGTTCAAAATAACTTCAAGCTTTACTCCATAGGAAATTATGATTTCCTTGACTTAAAAAACTGTAAATGTTAGAAGACTGGCAGGAAGGAGAGTAGAGGCAGACCCTCGCTTAGATGGATAATTTTGATAAATGATATACCAGAGAATATGAAAAGCCCGGTGTAAAAAATGGAAAGGGAAGAGGATAGAAGAGGCTGAAGTAACTGTTAAACTCTCTGATCCAGAAATGAGGCCTTCGAGGTCCGTTATTTTTTTTCTCTCTCTCTTCACTTTGAAGAATCTTAATGGTCCTGTTATATCTCGTTCTCCCATGTGATATTCACAATATATGTTTATACAGTCGCACAGCTCCGTAATAAACGCCCTATGACGACGTGTTGGTCAGTGACTCTACAGAT